AAAAAAAAAACACATCATAGTAAAATTAATACCTTCTCCGCTTCGCATCGAAGCTAAAAAAAATAATAAAAAATAAACACATCATGGTAAAATGAATACTTTATCAGCTTCGCATCGAAACTAATATTATCATTTTACTCGTGTGAAGATCTAATTTTTATATAATTAGAGAATTTTCATGTATTACTCGTATATTTTTTATTTTTGTATAAGTTATAATATGATATAAAATTTTGTGATAAAGTTTCAACGACATTGATATTTATCGGGAATAGTTTCTTGTAAACGTTTAGGTTTTAATAATTTATATGTACCCTCATGAAGGCCAATTTGGGGTAGTTAAATATTTATTATCATTTAAGCCGTATCAATCTACAGCACTAGTAAAACATTTACAAAAAAATACAAAATGTTTGTTGACAAAAATTGAATGGTAAAATGTATAAAATATTTATGTTTCACTTCCCTAAGTTGGACAATCTGACGGTAGCAAATTTAAATTCATTGATTATTACTGTAACAATAAAATGTAGTTTCATGAATTACTCGTTTATGACTTAAAATATAACTATATTGTAGTTTAATCCTTGATTTGATGAAAAAATGACTTCAACATTTGAAACTCATGCCCCCAACAAACATGTAAGTCGTATATAAAAACACCTGTTTTTTTATTGAGTTAACCTTGAAATACTTTACCTGTATGTCCATTATCTGTTAAATAACAACAGGATCGCTGTTTTGTTGTTTGAGTTTGGTTGCCGCGTAACCCATTTGCTATGTTTTGTGATAATAGAATTAACAATAATAAATATTAACATCCAGGTTTATTTATTTATTGTTTTTATTAGATGAGACTTGTTACATCTAATGGCTGTAAGTATAATTTAAAATCTTTATTATGTAGTTTTATTTTTATTTAAGCCTTATATAAAATTCATTTCTATTTAGTAATTGTGTTAAAAACTAAGTAAATTTAATTTGTATATTGTATGATACTAAATCACCATAGGGGAAAAATATGTGTACTCTACTATCAATATTAACAAATAA